TTTCTTCTCAGAGATAAGAACTACAGACACGGATCACTCAGCCTCACAAAACTATGCAACCAACAATGCGTGTAGTGATTCCTTCATAGATGGACGTTCACAACGATCCTAGTGAGCAAACGTGGAATGACTGTTTGCGTTTGCGCCCTAAAAACTACCTAGTCTGCAAGTTGACATCTTATAGGCTTTTTTAACGTTTTATAAGTTTTTTATATGATACCCGTGCCGATTTCGCTGGCGCTGTGACACCATTTAGTAACTTTACAGAAAATAAAGAAAAATACCTTGCAATATAATTCTCAGACTCAAAAACTGTTGTGACCGGACTAAACTCGCTAGGAAATCTACAAATAGCTCCTTCAGAAGCCGTTGCGCGAAAACCCGACGCGCATCCGGAAAATCGGGAAAATCAATATTCTAACCTCTACTGCAAAGTAGGTAGCACATATAAATATACATTTCCAGGAGTTTGTTGTGATGTCACTGATAAAACAAACTATAGATAACGTAAACTAGAAGTGAAATATGGTGTGCTGGAAAATCGCATCGCTTTGCTTCATAATTTCTGTTGTTTCCCATCAAGTATTATCAAAAAGCAATACTACTAAAGAAAATCACTTACCGCCATGTCGAGCCTGTAGAAATTTTATAGAATATTTTAAAAACGCGGTTCAAATAGTAACTAATAAGACCAAAGATGACAAACAAGCACAGTTCGTAGAAATTACAAAAAAACTGTGCACGGAACAATCCGACAAACTGTGTGAAGAATTAATGGCAAAATACAGCGATAAGCTAGAAGAATGGTGGATTGCAGGCAAAGAAAAACACCCAAACGTTGAAAGTTTTATATGCATAGAAACATTTAAAGTCTGCTGCCCTGATTTACACTATGGTCCTGACTGTAAGCCTTGTTCAGGCTACCCCAACAATGTCTGCAACAATAATGGTAAATGCAAAGGCTCGGGAACCAGGAAAGGAAACGGTGGATGTCTTTGTGACAGGGGATACACTGGAGAATTTTGTGATAAGTGTTCGGAAAGCCACTACGAGGCATACAAAGACGATAAAAAGCTTATATGCGCAGAGTGTCATCTCTCTTGTGAAGGCCTTTGTACAAAAGCTGGTCCCAAAGGCTGTGCAAAGTGTAAACCAGGCTTCATAATGGACAAGGATAAAGGATGTTTGGATATAAATGAATGCGCTGCAAGAAAACGTCCTTGCACGCCTCTCCAATTTTGCGTCAACACCGAGGGAGATTATAGATGCTTGGATTGTGACAGATCTTGCGCTGGATGTTCGGGAGACGGTCCGGACATGTGTATAGATTGCGCCACAGGTTACGAAAAGAAAGACAAAATGTGCGTGGATAGCGGCGAACAGAGGCGGCAGAATTTCGTGTGGTATTCGAGATATCTTACGTATTTGGGGCTGTGTATTTCTACGTGTATCATTTTGAACAAGAATATCTACATTGCTGCAGTGATTGGTATGTGCGTGGGTGTTTACATCACTGTCTCGGAGCAAACTTCTAGTCCTACTCAGAATCTTGAGCAGCAATTGGCTGACGAAATTGTAAATGCTCTTAATATCTGAAGAAATCTTTCAATTTCACGATAAAATGACGAATTCCTCTCATCTCGTGCCGTTTCGTCAGTCGCCTTTATGGCCTCCTTGATTTTCTTCGTCTTTCCTCTCCTTCAGAAAGGCTGGAGAATTTCTAGATTTCTACTGTTCCGTGTTAGCGTCAGCGCTCTCGTATTGTGAGTCTTCCTTTTTGAATTGTTGGAAATTTCAGACTGATATAACAGATGATATATGTAAATCAAAAGCATGAACAAATTGATGCAAATAGATTTGTAACATAACCTCAAAATAAAGCGCTGACACGGAACAGTAGAAATCTAGAAATACCCCAGCCTTTCTGAAGGAGAGAAAAGACAACGAAAATCAAGCAGGCGCCCTACAATTGTAAGAACAAGTGACGATACGACCTTTAATACCAGTTTTTACGTCAACAATTTCTTCACGAGTTTATCAATGAACCAATTCATGGATTATCTGACACTACACAGTGGTACCAACCACATAAATTCTTGCTAGAAACAGATTGAATTTTTATTTGTTTTGATTTTGAAGCGAATCTCTAAACAGAAACCATATTGTTGAATACTAGTTCTATACTTGAATTTAAACGTTCAATATAATGGAAAGGGAAACAAGGTTGACACCAACAAGCTTGTCGTCCAACTTGGCAAAAATTAGCATAAGTTGTAATTGCGTGAAGAAATCCACGAAATTCATGGATTTATAATACAAATTCCAGTTTGAAGTTGGAACGAACTCAATTTATGAAGAAAACAGTGGATTTATTGTCGATGTAAAACGGATATAAGACCGTTTTTATCATTCGTCAAATTAAAAAATAGCTCAATGCGATGAGAGGTTATGGGCCCAACCACCATTTGCTAAACTTTTGTCAGTATTATAGTAGCAATATCCACTCTTTTTGTATTGAATGCACTTTTTACTATCAAAGCTTTTGTGATTACTTATTACTGCATACAGGGTGAGTTTTTAGTGTACAATTGGACGATAATTTCATCATTTTAAGAGATATCTAAAAGTTGAAAAACCGTAGGAAAATTATACGCTTCCGGAAAACATACCACTTTCTACGGTGTGGTTCATAACTATGTGGCCATACATACATTTTTAAACGGAGTACCCAATATATTTTGATATATTCTAAAAGGCATTTTCAAATGACGAAGTTTAACATATCATACGACAGGATTTGAATCGCTGCTTCCGAAGCTAAGGGACATTTTGCCCAAAAAAGACACTCAAATTTGACAGCTTTTAGGTCACTTTTTCAGATACAGTAGCAAACTTTCCGTCAGAATGAGCTTCATATCCCATATTTTCTCGTTATATGGACGATTTTTAAATTTTGCGCATCATCTTACAAGGTGTACATAGTATTGTAACGAAAACACCGTTTTTGCTATTTAAACTCTAATGTATTTTTATCACAAATGTATGACTGTGTCGACTGGACGATAGAATTCCGTGCTGCTAACTCATCATCCGTTGGCGGTCGACTCTGCCTTCTGTACATGTATTTATCTTCAAAGTAGCATTCCATCGTTTTCTAGGCCCATCTCGAGCCGTCATCAAAGCTGGAAAGATGGCGGACGGTACTTCCCGAATGTTCACGATGTGCAGTCGTGTAATTCTGGTTGCCTAAACGGCGATGTTACGAGGGCGTCTCACTATTAGTCAAAGCTAACAATAGACTAAAATATATTCCTCCATTTGAAAAAAAATGCACGGACTTATGAATAATCCTGCAAAGCTGCATATTTTTAAAATAAGAAGCGTGTATTTACCTATAATTTTTGTAGATGCACTATATAACAATGGAGCTATCGACCAATTATTCTCATTAAAAACTCGCCGTGTATTGCTCACTGTTGCTCAATATGCAGGATCCGTGAGCGTTTAGGTTTGATTTTACATAGATGAATTGTGTTTGTGAAGAGATTTCGTTAAGGTTATGCACAAAAAACGACTGATATCTTTAGTTGTATCTGTGACACTCTGATAATGTTACTTATCTCAAATATACATATTCCTAGTCAAACAAAATACATTGTAGTTATTTGCCGTCACAAAACTACTCGGAATCCTAGTTTTTATAAATGAGAAAATGTAGAGGTTTGTTACAGTCACACCAAAATTGGTGATCCATATGAAATTTGGTACGGAGGTAAAGTCTGTCATAGCGTATGGCTACTTTTTATCCTTCGAAATATCCATTCACAGATTGCAAGCCAAACGGTTTAAAGAAAATTTGACGTCGAAGCGCTCAGTCGAATGAGCAAGGGCATTTGCAACCTGCATTTCGATATACGGTTTCTTAAAATACTATTACAGTTCGAAATATCATTGATGCAACTTCGATTTGCTGTTATCTACAGCGTTTTTTAAGCTAATTAAGTTTAGGGCCGTCAGGTGTTCCTACAATTGTAGGACGCCTTATGGCCTTGGTTTTCAGTCTTCTCACACTTTGAGAAAGGCGGGGGTGTTTCTAGATTTCTATTGTTCCGTGTCAGCGTCATCGATTCGTATTGTGAAGCTATTTTTTCTTTTTGCATGATAGGAAATTTCAGGCCGATATAACAAATGAAATAAATCAAAAGCATTTGATGCAAATAGATACATAATCTCAAAACAGAGCGGAAACACGGAACAGTAGAAAGGCATAGGTATTTCTAGGTGTCTACCGCTCAGTCTCCGCGCTTTATTTTGAGGTTATGTTACAAATATCCATTTGCATCAATTTTTTCATGCTTTTTATTTTCATCATCTGTTCTATCAGCTTGAAACTTTCCTATATTTTAAAAAGGAAACGTAACCTCACAATAGGAGAGCGCTGACGCTGACTCGGAACAATAGAAATCTAGTAAATACACCAGCCTTTCTGAAGGAGAGAGAATACTATGAAAATCAAGAAAGTCGGAAAGGCGTCCTACAATTGTAGGAACGACTGACGATACTGCCCTTAGTCTCAAAACCAAAACAAATTTGAAATTCAGCTTTTTTTTCAAAGTTTCCCAATTTTTAAACCAAATTCTTTTCGGTTTCCAATTTTTTTTCAAAATATCGAAATCTGCAAATTATTTTCCAAATTTTCAAATCACTTTTTTCCCAATTTCAATTTATCAAAAAAATTCAAATTTTTTTCAAAGATTATTGTACTGTCATCGGCTCTTGACCGCTATGCAATTTTCAGGTTAACTTGAAAATGGTGGAAATTAGGTTGAAATACTCGATCACATACAAATCAAGCTAATAAAAGCAAATTAAAAAGCTTAAATCGTGAGAGATTCAAAAACTATTTACGCTCAGGTTTTCCTCGCAGCATTTAAATTTCCTTACCTTACCTTAAAAACAAACAAAAGTACGATGGATATCGGTTAGGTATAAAAAAACGATTTCAAGTTTCTCAATATATTTTGGTCATACCAGTCAGTGATATAAACTCAACAAAAATACACAATACATATAAATGCTAACACCTAAAATGTCTTTGGATATCGAACATGATATGAGACTCAAAATACGATGTTTATACCAACGTAGTAAATTGGTATTTTCGTATAGTAACTGTTAAAGTTACGCATATAATTCTTTGCAGCATTCACTGACTCATATTCTGTTCGCAAAGCCATAAATCTGTGAATCATTAAAATATAATATCCTAATAAAATGTCACTACTAACACCGCTAAAGTGTCTGCTCTAAAAACGTGATATATCGCATGGCAAGTTCTCTAAAAGAAAAATAGTGCACTTGTTTTGACAATCTAAGATTCCAAAAAAAATATAGTACAGTGAAGGACTTTCTACCTCACGCTTGAACTCAGGCCTTATTTTATTACATAAGAGTCAATTATAAATCACAGGTAAGTAAATTCCAACCTTATTCTCTGAGCCGTATTGATTAATAAAAAATGTCAGGATATTTAGATTTTTGATACATTTCTTATTGTCTCGACAATGCACTCTCTTCGACATAAAAAATTTGTTTCATAGATATTGGAACTTGAAAAAAACAACATATTACATGAGCAAAGACTAATAACTAACAACCCACCCTATAGTAAATCTGAGACTTAATAAAATAGACGTTTCCCAATATATCAAGTGATGTAATTTTCTCAGATAAATTGTACTTTCCTAGTACATTTCTCAAGTATTCAAAATGTCAGCTAAGTGTTCAGAAAAGTTATAGCATACATTTCCGATATAGCTGAAAATGATGCAATATTTCTTTTACGAGAGTTGATCGGAAAACTTGACATATTGCATATCTTCACGCATAGCTGTCATTTTATAAATATATCTAGTACAGAATCGATTTTATTTAGGCTTCATAATAAAGAAATAAATCGTCCGAAATTACGATTGAAAATTTTCTCTAAATAATAGCAAGATATTTATCATTTGATGCTTCTCTGATATATGCTAAAATCACTATAGATTTATCTTTGACACGATATCTTTATGACGGAAAAAAGAAGCATCCTTAGCATTTCGTTTTTGAAGATTTCTTTCTCAATGTGGTTCATCTTGGAATTCAAATTTCGATGAGGCCTCTGGGCATTTGGAGATTGTTTTAGCACAATGATGTCCGGGAAATACGTATAAAAAAGAAACGACACGGCAAATGAAGAGCCTCACAATTGAAGACTTTGAGCGATCGTATCAACAGGGGCGTTGGCAAAAGTGCAACTTGTCTCGGGAAGGAACAATTGTAAAATGAAGCTATTCCACTTTTATACGTATTTTCCCAACAAACCTCGTATTACTCGCGTTGTTCGTCAAATACGTTGACCGCAGTGACGATCAAGGTTTGAAAGAAATAATCTCAAAAAAAATGCGACGAATGTTTTTTTTATAAAAATAACACGATTACTTGTTTTTCTTTTTTATGCTTTCGAAACAGGAACCACCCATTACTTTCTCATCAATATCTCCTAACTGAAATTACCACTAAGATCCCAAAGCTGCCAGACATTACTCATTTTCCGGAGTATTGAATAGTGCTTATGTTCACTTTCAACTGTGTACCTGCCAAGTTGGGTGGTCGATACGTCGATGGCCGAGATGTAATGTAAAATCAAAACCTAATCCGCACCTGCACCTCGATCAGATCAAACGTAGCTAGCTGCGTTTGTAAACAAAACGTTTACACATCGGTTTTAAAAAAAGCACACTTTTACAGCGATATTGGAGTGGTCCATATTATTTTAATTAACGGTGAGCGTTTTCGAGGCTTCGCGAGTGCATGCAGATCGTTTTTGAAGATCCTTCCTGATTTCTATATTAGTTTGGGGCGAAATGAAATGTTTAGTGTATTCTGAGGTTCCGGTACCAACAGAAGCTATTACAAATTATGGTATAGCTATTGCCCTGACCAAGCAACTCAAAAGTTATGTCGAAAATCAGTGAGATACAGAGTCTTTGGAGCTTCTTTCTAAGCTAGAAATATGATTTCAAGGCGCCATTTTAAAGAAAAAGATGAGACAAACGATAATATATGAATTTTTGCGTCCCTAAAGTAACTTTTTATTTCATAGTTTTATAAAGGTAACAAACATTTTTTTCTTTTTTAATATATCCAGTTTTATTTAAAAACACAATTTTTGTTGTATTTCTTTTGAACGGACACTTTCAGTCGGCCCCGCCCAAAAGAAATTTCACTGTGAATAGTTCTTTTTCCCTCCATGCATTGCGGTACACCTTGTACACATGTAAGCGTTATTCAATCCCCACGTTACGCCATTCAAAAAATGAATAACGTCCGACAGCCCTGGGATCTTATACTAAAAATAACCACGAACCCTAAACCTAACGCCTCCTAGTGCTACCTTCGCTTCTCCTCCTTCTCCTCCTGCTCTCCTCGCCGCTTCGACCGCTTCTGCTGGATCGCTTTCTTCTGCTGCCGTCGCGGTCTCTGTCGCGATCCCTGTCGCTGCGCTGCCTCAAACTTCTCGTACGGCCGAAACTAGAAAGACACACACAGGGACCCAAACAATCATCAACCATTTCCAATCAACATCATCATCATCATCATTGAATCCGGGACGAAGTACCATATCTGCTGATCAGCACCATTTGGGACGGACCGGGATGATCATCTTTCAACCGCCATCAACAACCATCTTACACAATTCTCTAAGCAAACCATATAAACAAACAACCATGTGCCTGACAAAACCACAAAACAACAATTAGAAAAATTGGTGACGCAACAAATTTGTGTTTCGATAGATATATTGCTATATTGGTGTGAGGGGTGTCGAATAAAGTTTACAGAATAAAATACAAGTTTGATTACTCAGTTTTATCATCTTTGTTTGTTTGTTGAAATTTATTTAGCATTGATGCTACAATGTCAATTGTCTATAAGTATTATACACTCAGTGACGTTAGAAGTGTTACACCCAGAAAAAAATAATGTCTTCAACTTGTTTTTTTTTTTTGGCTACTTTAAAGCAGCAACAATGTCAACGTTTTATCTTTGTTTTTGTTTATCTTTGTTAAAATGTTAACTCTTAGTTTTTGTAAAGAAAGAAGCTTCTGAGAACTGAATATTACAGATATTTTTAGTTATTGCCCTTTCATTTAAGCATAACAAAATGCCTCGAGGTGTTGGTTTATCCTATCGCAAAATTTGCCGCCGTGTTAATTGTGTGTGTCGTGTGTGGATAGAAGGTCGAGAAACACGAAGAAGGCCAATCTCATCCACCGAGGCCAACCACAGAGCGTCAAGATAGGCGCTTCACACGACAAGCCCTAAAAGACTACTACTACAAGTCTTTTTTCATACCGTCAACGGTTAGTGCTTCCTCTGACTGCGGACCACTGTCGTCCATGTTTGAACTGGAGCAGAGAATGGCAGCACTGTGAGGCAGAATGGCATAATCTCATCTTCAGCGACGAATCGCGATTCTGTCTAGGTACGCACGATGCTCGTGGAGAACGGCGTGATATTGGATTTGCTGTTGAGAAGCAAGCAGGCGTTAATGTTTTGCCGTGGTGGGTGGCCACCGGATTTGAATCCCATCGAACATGTGTGGGATATGATGGGGAGGAGACTATCCACTTTGCACCATCTGCCACAGAATCTGCCACAGCTGATCCTCAAAGTGCGAGTTGCTTGGAAGGAGGTGCCACTACCAGACATCGCTAATCTCATTTTCTCTATGCCTAGATGCATACAGCAGTAAATTCAGCTGCGGCGTCGCCCAACACATTACTAATTTTTTTACTTATTCCTTGTCAATAAAGTCACGTGAGAATGCTATCGTTTCATTCTTGATGTAAGACTACCTCATTGCCAAAAAATCAAGTTGTAGAAATTATTTTGTCTCGGTGTAATACTCCTAATGTCACTGAGTATATTTCCAAAATTAGTTTTTTGACTTCTATTTACTGAATAATTTTCTAAAACGTTTTTTACAGGGTGCAGTATCTAAAAAATTGCAGCTAACAGTATGCTCCTTACTTTGAAAATGTTTTTATTTCTACAGGGTGATTCATAAATTATGTGGTGACACAAACATTCTTTTTTTTTAAATGGAAGGACCTACATTTTATTCCATATTCGGGTAGACCCTTCCAAACGAAGCAATTTGATACCACATACTAAAGGATTCTATTTTCAAATTTTTGAAATATTGGGCAATCAATAAAAAAAAACACTCAACTTTGACCACTGACAAAAAAATTTTTTGTTGGTAAAATTTTATGATCCAATAATTTTTCCTTATCTAGTTACCTTTTCAATTTAGTTAGTTTATACAGGGTCAAAAAGGCAAAATGGAGAAATTTCAAATGAAACACCCTGTATATTTGCACACTTTTTCATTCCCATTTTCACATGCTTTTTGCTGATAAAAGGGTAGAGAATGTTATTTAAAGGTTTTATCCATCACTAACACTCATTTTTTCTTTAATGAAATTTTGCGACAATTTTAGCTCACTCATATACAGGGTGACAGGTAAATAGGTGTAAAACATTTTAGGAGGTGATAGTACAGCTCCTTTGCTATCAAAATTAGTATATAATACCATACCCTATATTCAAAGGTGAAAAAGTTATGGAAGATTTAATTTTTTTTTAAAAACAACCCAGATTACAGAGTAAAATAGTCGAGATAAAAAAAAGTTGGTGATTAAACATTCTTTTTTTGGTGGTTTCAGGTTATTATTTAAATAAACAATTCTCATAAATTCAAAAACATTGAATTGACACAGCAGACGGATCAAGGAAAGGGAACTAACGCTTACGTTAGTTAGTAGAATATCAACCTTTAACGCGGTAGGACGTACTTTTACTTTTTTGATCAGTTTTAATAATGGCGAGTTACGGTAACGAAGAATACGCTGATATTCTGTTTTGTTATGGTTTAAGTGATGGAAATTCCGTTGAAGCCAGGCGAGAATACGAAAACCGTTTTCCGAATCGGCGAATACCGAGTCATCGAGTATTTGCTTCTGTGTACCAACGCGTCAAGGAAAGTGGACAGGTTCATGAGAGACGTCATGATGCTGGTAGACTTCGGTTGTTTGACGACGAAGATCGAGAGGCAATACTGGAATGCTACGGCAGAGACCCGACGACGTCTACACGAGTTATAGCAAAGCAGCTTGGTTTAACTCAGTGGAAAGTTTGGTTCGTTTTGCATTCGGCGACACCGGTTCAAGTACTAGAAGAAGGAGATCCCGCAAGAAGAATTGATTTTTGTCGATACATGCTTCATCAGGATCAAGAAGAAACCGACTATTCAACTAAAATATTGTGGACCGACGAGTCTAAGTTTGACAGAGAGCGGACAACAAATTATCACTTACATTATTGGGCCCCACGAGCTGCAAATCCCCACATGGCAAAGCCAAGAGCCCATCAAAGAAGATTTTCGGCAAACGTGTGGATGGGAATCATTCATACGTATCTAATTGGACCAGTTTTTTTGCCTGACAACCTGAATGGCGAATCCTATGAAAACTTTTTGAGATCCGAACTCTGGGAGTATCTCGAAGACCTGCCTCTGAATATCAGGATGCAGATGATCTACCAACACGATGGCTGTCCCGCGCATTTCCGTCTGGGTGTTAGACAGTGGCTGGACGAGAAATATCCTTGTCGCTGGATTGGCCGAGGTGGACCGACACCGTGGCCAGCGAGGAGCCCAGATTTAACACCGTGTGACTATTATTTATGGGGGCACATGAAGTCACTCGTGTATGCAGAGCCCATAGACACTCTTGCACAGTTAAAAGAAAGAATTATTGCTGCTGCTGACACTATCAGAGGACAACTAACTGGCCGCATCACGCGTACCAACATGAGAAAAAGACTACGGGCATGCATAAGAAACGGCGGGCGTCAGTTCGAACAACAATTGCAATGAATTTTACCTTCATTTCATTATTGTATTTTACTTACTAATTGTATTAACTTTTAGTCAGTTTTTATTATTCTGTAGTACAATTACAACTGTGTAAATAATCTAATCGTGTAACTTAACCGTAGTTTAAAATAATAACTATCCCATAGCTTACAGTTACATTATTTTCACAAAAACACTTTCTTATCAATCAGAGAGTTGTGAAAATAGGAGACAAGCCATTGGTAAATTTACTCCCTATTGTTGTATTACAATACATTATGTTTAGTTTCACACAGTTTTTGTGCACTTATCATACCAATTTAGATTCCTTATGAAACAAGGATATTATTTAATTGTTTGTACGTTTTTTTGTATACTGATTTTTTTGTAAAACACCTTACTTACTGTAAAACGTTATTTGTTTTTCAAAGTTAAACATTTTTGAATGAAAATAAATATGTTGTTTGGTATTGTTTTCAAATCTTTTTTAATTTATAATAGTTAATTATTGAAATAATAACCCAAAACCACAAAAAACAAATGTTTAATCGCCAACTTTTTTCTCTCCTTTTTACTCTGAAATATGGATTGTTTTTAAAAAATCTTAAATCTTCACTTTTCAACCTTCGAATATAGGGTATGGTATTATATACTAATTTCGATAGCAAAGGGGCTGTACTATCACCTCCTAAAATGTTTTACACCTATTTACCTGTCACCCTGTAGAATGAGGACCATTACGGAAAAAAACTGAGAAACTGATTCTAAAAAATGACACAACTTGTATATTATTCTGTAAAATTTGAAAACAAATAATATGTAAGAAATCATAATCATGAGATATCTCAAAAAACCTCTACAAATTTCAAATGCCTATTAACATAAGGCAATACATACCAAAACAAATTCAAAATATAGTGCATCTTTCAGAATAATAGCACATGGAAAATGGTGTAAAGAAAGCACAATCCAAAAAGGCTAGCATTTTACTAAAATACTATACTTTTGCTTGGATATGGAAGTTAATTCACTTTGTAAACATATAATGGTTAAATTTTACAATAGATTATAAAGACAGACAAACCTGTAAGAAAATGACATGAGGATCAATTGGGTTTTAAATTAAATTTACCATTTTACATGACCTTCTAATAGCAAATGATTATGATTTAATATCTTACTTCAAAAGCACAGAACTTAACAGCCTTCATAATAAATGCATACAGAACGGAATTCATTTTTAAATCGACTGAGTATTCATCTAAACATGAAAAATATTAAAATATACAAGACTACATAGTACCAGTTTTAAAATTATTCAGTGTAAGTCCAAAGAGGTTGCGGTTAAGCACTAACGTGCAATTAGATATTAACAAGAACTCCTGCAAAATTTGAGTTACAGATATATAAGGTGCTTTTGAATCTTGAAAAGAACACAAAATATTTTTTCCAAAAGCATATAAAAAAATATTATATCCTAGCAATGTTGTATTTCAAAGATTTTTTAGAAATGACAGACTTTTATTTGAAGACTATTACACATTCTGTGAAACAAAAACAGGGACAACACAAAAGTGTCAATAAATGTGCCCTAAACAACAACTCACCGGTCTCTATCCCTATCCCCTCTATCTCTTCTTCTATCACGACCGCCACCTCCACCATTTGTATCGGGACAATCTCTCTGGAAATGTCCAGTGAACCCACATTGATAGCAACGCAAAGATGTATTATACGACCTTCTCCCCGAACCTCTGGTTCTTGGTTTGGCATACGTTACATGGAGCCTAGCCCCAGCAACTTCCCTAAAAAAAAATAAGCATAAAAATATGTTGCACCAATTATTTTTTTTAGTTAGTTAGAATAAGACAGACAGGATTATAAACCAGAGTTTTCACAAATAAATGTTGCCATTCTAAGATCACATACGAGTCAAACCAAAAGCTTGGTAGGCTGAGAAATAAAACATCGGAAGGAACTATAGAAACATAGACAAATGATTAAAGTATATAGACAAACATTTCGTACATTCCATCGACTTCTTTCAGAGCAGTTGCCGCAGCTCTCTTGTCTTTGAAGACAGCAAAACCAAAAAACGGTGAGCTATTTGTCATCCAGACTTCTTTGAGAGGACCATACTGAGAAAAAACTTTCTCTAGATCTGACTTTCTTATATCTTCAGTTATATCTGCTATGTGCAGCCTGCAACCATCGGTTTCGCTGCTTCTGCTTCTTGAACGTGACCTAACGAAGAACATGTTTTTAATAATTTCAAACTTTATTTTCTTTTAACTCTTACCTAGATTTGCTAGATCTGCTGCGACTTCGGCTCTTATCACTACTGTTAGAAGCACTTCTGCTTCGTGATGGCGAGGCTTTAGTATCATTCCTCATTTTATTAGATCCTTATCTATCCTGTAAAAATTCAGATCAATGTTACTTTTCAAATAATGTTAAAACTGATGCTTCTATATGATAAGAATTAATGTTACTCCATTTTGTCAATAAATACGATAAGGCAAGTTCAAAATTACTCATCATATAATTACCATAAAAATGTGAACACCTTGAACTGAGCTTGTGCTCATTTCAAAAGATTTCTTGAAAACGTTTCGATATCATACATACCTTAGCACGATTTTATGTATAGTATTATTGTAATTAAATTAATATTAATCGATTAATTATAATTCAGTGTCAGCATGAATTATGAGGTACACAGTTCATCGAATAAACAACCAAATAAACGCTGAAATATATGTAATGTATCAAAATTTGAAGGACTGTAACCACATGGTGACGCTAGGCGAGTTTGATTTTGGACTTTTGATTATACAAATTTGATAAATGATACTACGGTCACAAGAAAAATTACAAACCTAAAATGGAAACGATGGAAACCGCATGGAATGGAAAAGCTGAAAACAGAAATGTAAATAAACGACAAGAAAAACACCGCCGGAAAGATGGCACAGAACAGGAAAATCAAAGATGACACTCGGCCCAGATGAAAACACCTATACCATAGAAAATTTTATTTTTGTCCATTCTACAGCTCTCATTATTCATCAACAGTCCAGTTCTATGCGTAAAGTCTGATTATTACCCAGTCAACCTGGAAAAGAGGCGTGGTTACAGGTAACCAGCTAACGTGAAATATAGGCGTGGTTTGCGAGTGAGATCTGGGGACAAAAATGGCGTCATATGCCATCGAATAAAAATCACTGCTCAAAATCTGGGAAAAGAGACCTTTCAACAGGTGCAAGGTGTGGTGCATATTTTCACGACAGGTGGAATGTGGGTGGTTGTCAAAATTAAAAATCAAGGTTATAAATAAATAAACGGTTTTTGTACCCTTTTTTCGGGGATAATGAATTAAATTTTTTTTTGAGATCATCAAACTTGCGTAAAATCTAATGAAAAATGTGATATATTTCGGTACATAATAGTTTTTACATCAAAAAACGGCCTGAAGCTGAGTATATTAAAGAATTCACCTGCCACTCCTAAAGTTCCAAAACGGAAATGGACAACTCCTGGATAAAAGTGCAAAATAAGGACGGAATGGCCTATTATATCAAGTTAGTACTTCGGTTTCTTACATTTTGTACCATAACAAGGGTAGTTTCATTCATAATATTTACAAACTTTAATATTTTTAGTGAACATACAAAGGTCCATCAGTGGAGTCATCCAAAGTTTGCTGATATTCGCCAGAGGTTGGATGATTGCAACTATGTAAAATATTCTATGTATAGAGTGGCTCTAAAATTTAGGGTCCTTCAGAACGCCTTATTCAGTGAGTATTACCAGCTAATTACAAAGTTGATCTTCTCTACCAGCACATCATTCCACTGTGCTAAATATACTTCCTTTAAGCATAGAACCAAACTGATATGGTGAAAGGATCAGGGTTCTAAAATGCATTTTATCAACTCTGAATACAAATAAAATTTACAACTTTGACCTTTGAAAAAACATTGAAGTCTAAAGAAAAATGTTGATGGTGCAAACATTTTCACAGTTGCGATCAACTAAAAATTTGTCTTGTTTTCTGGGCAAAAAGCCCCTTACGAACCCCATTTGTTTAACTCAAATATTTTTGTTTTTAGTGGATGAGGTCCCTTTATCAGTGATTATAGGCGTATTTTCAAGGCATAGACTGGGTGTAAATAAAGATTCATTACCCATAAAGAACTGTGACTTGGAAGCAATACTTTCGGACATATATTTTGCCTCCAGTAAGATCAATCACACCAATATTGTTGTTGATTTTGCTACAGATCTCCTTATGAACTTTTTATATGATGTATATGACAAGTAAGTTGAAATTTAATATAGTACATTAATGAATATTTGAAGCTAATTTAAAACTTCGGTATCTTTCTACTAACTTTGCCAGGTTGACTGGAAGTCTGACCCAGCTTATGATATCTAAAATTATTTTTTACTTTTATATATTTTTTTCAGGGACAGGCAAGGCCTCATTCAGGTATCTTCAGTAAAACTAGCCTTATACATTTTGAGCAGCTGTCCATTGATAGATCTCTACAAGTGGATCTTTCATCTGTATGCAGATCACAACTATTGCTTAACCAGAGTGAAATTGCAGATGTTGTTGAATAATATTACAGAAATAATGACATATCTACACGAGGATAACAGCTATGGTTCACATTTGATAGCTGATACTATTGAGGATTGCTTCAAAAATGTAAGCCATTCTTCATTTTGTACTTCAATTCTTATGCTTTGTTTTCTTTGATAAAATATACTGTAAGTAAAAAACTTAGTCATTTTCTGAATCAAATTTTCTAAAATATCTGAGATTCAGATTCAGAAGGCATAAGTTAAAGCACTTTTATATCTATCTTTTAAAAAATTCTCAAAGCCTTCAGGATTAGCAAAATTTTCAATAATTCCAAAATTTTCAATTTCCAAGATATTTAAAATTTCCCGAATTATCAAAAATTTTCAGAATTTTTATAATTTTCAGAATTTTTAAAATTTCAAGAAAATTTAAAATTTTCAAAATTTCCGGAATTTTTAAAATTTTAGAATTTCTGGAAAGTTTGTTGACTTTCAGAATCTTCAAAACTCGAAATTTCAAAATTTTCACAATTTTTTAAATATTCTTAGACCCAGGAATACTAACTAAGGATTAGCATATTTTCAAGTGCTTTAATGATTTCTAAAATTTATGAATTTTCAAAATTCTTAACCTTCAGGATTAACAAAGTTTCAATAAGTTCAAAATTATAAATCTTGTGAAAATTTTCAATTCACAAACCTTTTAAACTTTTTCGAATCATCAAAAATTTTAAAAATTTTCGGAATTTTTAAACTTTTCAGTACATATTATAAAATCTTAGAATTTCTGGAAGGTTTGAAAACTTTCAGAATTTTCAAAACTCAAAATTATTAAAAATTTCTCAGGCCCACGAATAGTAACTCTCCCTTGAGTTACCATCAAGTAGAAATTAGACTTTTGCACTTTATAGATACTTTTAAAGTTCTCAGAATTATCGAAACTCAAAATTTTTTGAATTTTCATGATTTTCAAAATTTTCTAAATTTAAAATTTTCAAAATTCTTGAATTTATGAAAGGTTTGAAACCTTCTAGAATTTTCAAATTTGTCACAATTCTCAAAATATTCAGTCTTCAATGTTTACGCTTTGTTTTCTTTGATAAAATATAGTGTAAGTAAAAATCTTAATCATTTCCTGACTAAAATTTTCTGAAATAATCTGAGGTTTTGTTCTTTCAGACACCAGATTCTGAAGGCATAAGTGAAAGCGCTTTTGTATCAATGTTTTAAAAAATTCTCAAAGCCTTCAGGATTAGCAAAATTTTCAATTTCCAAAATTTTTTAAATTTCCCGAATTATCAAAAAATGTTCCGAATTTTTAAAATTTTAGAATTTCTGGAAAGTTTGTTGACTTTCAGAATCTTCAAAACTCGAAATTTCAAAATTTTCACGATATTCTTAGACCCACAAATACTAACTCAGGATTAGCATATTTTCAAGAGCTTTAATAATTTCTAAAATTTATGAATTTTCAAAATTCTTAACTTCCAAGATTAACAAAAGTTTCAATAAGTACAAAATTATTAATCTTCTGAAAATTTTCAATTCACAAACCTTTTAAACTTTTTCGAATCATCAAAAATTTTAAAAATTTTCGGAGTTTTTAAACTTTTCAGTATTATAAAAATCTTAGAATTTCTGGGAAGTTTGAAAACTTTCAGAATTTTCAAAACTCAAAATTATTTAAAATTTTCAAAATATTCTCAGTCCCACGAATAGTAACTCTCCCTTGAGTTACCATCAAGTAGAAATTAGACTTTTGCACTTTATAGATACTTTTAAAGTTCTCAGAATTATCGAAACTCAAAATTTTTCAAATTTTCATGATTTTCAAAATTTTCTAAATTCTTGAATTTATGAAAGGTTTGAAACCTTCTAGCATTTTCAAATTTGTCACAATTCTCAAAATATTCAGTCTTCAATGTTTACGCTTTGTTTTCTTTGATAAAATATAGTGTAAGTAAAAATCTGAATCATTTTCTGACTCAAATTTTCTGAAATAATCTGAGGTTTTGTTCTTTCAGACGCCAGATTCTGAAGGCATAAGTGAAAGCGCTTTTATATCTTGGTTAGAGCAACATCCCAAACTGTTCTCCTGGATTCCACTGCTTCACAGAATAAAAAAAGCAGAGCCTGGTAAGTATTAACGTACCTGAGCTTGGCGCCCGTATTACGAAACGCGGAAAGTGACATTATATCAAACTCGGCGTGTGCGCGTGGCGTTGACCAGCGACTAGCTAGTACACAATTTGAAATTATACCGATTTTCAATAACCTTTTATCGATTTTTTACGTAGTACGCCTGGCGGCTCTGAGGTCTCTGGGGCCCAATCCAAACTGAAAAGCCTTTATATATTTTGTCCCTATACGATTCCTTCAATTTTCTGTACTATTTCACAGTGATCCACGGCCAGAAATGCACCACCTGCAAATCGAACCCGCTGATCGGTCTCCGGTACAAATGTACCAAATGTCTTCGATACACGCAATGTCAACGTTGTTTTTTCGCTGGGCGCACCAGCAGATCGCACAAGTTGACGCATCCGATGAGAGAGTACGCAACTGAAATTGACGCAGGAGGCTACACGTTTATTAAGAGGCTGTGTAGCTTGTTGTCGTGCTCGAGACGAGAAGAGGTCGTGGTTATTGAGACGAAACCTTTATGGTGAGAGTTTTTTTTATACGTGTCTGATAATGGATCTTTTCGCAGTTTTTGACGGTTACATATCGATGTCGTACGAAATAAGTAAACAGATGACGTTTATTTATTTATTTATCGGGGATCAGCCCCTTTACAATATATATACCGGATCTTTATAGAACAACATATTTGCATTTCAGTGATCAAAATGCAATATCAAAAACCCAATCCAAAGAAGTATTGTGCAATATTCAACCCTTGTCTTCTCCAGAAAATCAGCTTCAACTTGTAATCAAACAACTTGAACTGCAAAATAAAGAGTTACAGGAACTTATTAGCTTGAGAGACAAGACTGATAGGGATATCAGGCAGTATTTGGAAGATCATCATCTGCACATTGCTGATCAGATACAAAAATTGAAGATTCTAAAGGTACAGAACTAGTTGTAAAGGTTTCCTACATAATATTGAGTGTTTCTTGAAAATCTATATGTTATTTAGGATCCTTTTTTCAGGAATACCTAAATGTACCTGCAAGTAACGCAAAACCGCAAGAGAGAGCCAGAAAGCATATTTCTGAATCAACGCCAATGGTTCAGGACTGTGGAAAAAAGAAAAGAGTTGTGGAACCAGGCATTGAACTTTTCAGTCCGATAGTTCCTGAAACGAATAATTTTGTGGCAAATAAGGATTTGGTAGATTCTGTTAAAGATAATAGTCCAAGCGAGAATTTTACTCTTGATCAGAGTAGCAGATATTGTATGGATGATACAAATTGGATCGCAGGCAAGTTAAAGCCAAGAAAACGTGTTTGTTCAGCATTGATTAATATTTACTTTCAATTTCTTCAGATTCGTGGGATATAAAAACCTATATATCTCAAGAATCCAAAGAAATAAAAAGTACATAAAAGGCACTGGGATCGGACTGTATTTTATTATATATATTGATTAACATCTTATTATTTTAGGACAATCTGCAATAACTTCAGCAGAACGTCCAGTAACTAACACTTGCGATAGCAAAACATCCGCGCAAAAATTTCAGAATGATTTGGATGAAGCCCTGGTTAAATTGCAGCAAATTTTGGCGAATAATTTCAGCTTAGACGAGTCTTTAGGGCCTGTAGATAATACGAATTTGAAGTATGCCGTTTCAGAAGTAGAAGGTAGGTCGATATTGAGAGAAGGTTCAGGCCCACATTTACGAGTATAGTCTAGATTCAATATTTGCACTTTACAGATACTTGTAACAGATTTTTATGTTTTCAAAAAATTTTAAAAGTCATGAATCTTCAAAATTCTCGGAGCGGATTAGCAACATTTTCAATGATTCCAAAATTTTCAATTTCCAAAACTTTTAAAATTATCAAAAATTTGCAGAATTTAAAAAATTCTCAGAATTTTGAGAATCATTGGAATTGTTAAAATTTTCTCAATTATAAAAATTCTAGAATTTCTGGGGGGTTTGAAAACTGTCAGAATTTCAAAACTCGAAATTTTAAAATTTTTCAAAATTATTACATTTTTCAAAATATTCTTAGGCTCACGAATAGTAACACCCTTGTGTTACCCTCAAGTTGAAATTTGACATTTATACCATACAGATACTTGTAGTAGATTTTCAAAAGTTTTAATGAATTTAAAGATTTATCAATTTTCAAAATTCTCAACTTTCAAGAGTTTTAGTAATTTCTAAAATTTACGAATTTCCAAAATTCTCAACCTTCAGGATTAACAAAATTTTCAATAATTTCAAACAAAATTTACAATCTTCTGAAAATTTTCAAGGTCCAAAACTTTTAAAATCTTAAAAATTTTCGAGATTTTTAAAATTTTCAGTATTATATTTTCTTAGAATTTCTGTAAAGTTTGGAAATTTTCAGAATTTTCAAAACCCGAAATTTAAAGTTTTTTCAAAATATTGTTAGGTTCACGAATAGTAACACCCTTGAGTTACCCTCAAGTTGAAATTTGGCATTTATACTTTACAGATACTTGTAGTAGATTTTCAAAAGTTTTAATGAATTTAAAGATTTATCAATTTTCAAAATTCTCAACTTTCAAGAGTTTTGTAATTTCTAAAATTTACGAATTTCCAAAATTCTCAACCTTCAGGATTAACAAAATTTTCAAAAATTTCAAACAAAATTTTCAATCTTCTGAAAATTTTCAATTTCCAAAACTTTTAAAATCTTCAAAATTTTCGAGATTTTTAAAATTTTCAGTATTATATTTTCTTAGAATTTCTGTAAAGTTTGGAAACTTTCAGAATTTTCAAAACCCGAAATTGTAAAGTTTTTTCAAAATATTCTTAGGTTCACGAATAGTAACACCCTTGAGTTACCCTCAAGTTGAAATTTGACATTTATACTTTACAGATACTTGGAGTAGATTTTCAAAAGTTTTAATGAATTTAAAGATTTATGAATTTTCAAAATTCACAACTTTCAAGAGTTTTAGTAATTTCTAACATTTACGAATTTCCAAAATTCTCAACCTTCAGGATTAACAAAATTTTCAAAAATTTCAAACAAAATTTTCAATCTTCTGAAAATTTTCAATTTCCAAAACTTTTAAAATCTTCAAAATTTTCGAGATTTTTTAAATTTTCAGAATTATATTTTCTTAGAGTTTCTGTAAAGTTTGGAAACTTTCAGAATTTTCAAAACCCGAAATTTAAAGTTTTTTCAAAATATTCTTAGGTTTACGAATAGTAACACCCTTGAGTTACCCTCAAGTTGAAATTTGACATTTATACTTTACAGATACTTGTAGTAGATTTTCAAAAGTTTTAATGAATGTAAAGATTTATGAATTTTCAAAATTCTCAACTTTCAAGAGTTTTGTAGTTTCTAAAATTTATGAATTTCCAAAATTCTCAACCTTCAGGATTAACAAAATTTTTAATAATTTCAAACAAAATTTTCAATCTCCTGAAAATTTTCAATTTCCAAAACTTTTAAAATCTTCAAAATTTTCGAAATTTTTAAAATTTTCAGTATTACAAATTCTTAGAATTTCTGTAAAGTTTGACAACTTTCAGAATTTTCAAAACCCGAAATATAAAGTTTTTTCAAAATATTCTTAGGTTCACGAATAGTAACACCCTTGAGTTACCCTCAAATGGAAATTTGATATTTGCACTTCACAGAACTTGTCACAGATTTTCAAGAGTTTTAATAATTTCAAAAATTTATGAATTTTCAAAATTCTCAACCTTCAGGATTAACAACATTTTCAGTAAGTTCAAATCTTTCAATCTTCTGAAAATTTTCAATTTTAAAACTTTTAAAATTGTCAGAATGTTTTAAACTCAATTTTTTTAAAATATTTACGATTTTAAAAATTTTCTGAATTGTAAAAATTTTTAGAATTTAAAAATTTTCAAAATTGTGGAAATTATGAGAGGTTTGAAAACTTTTAGGATTTTCATATTTTCCAACGTATTAAAAATTTTTATTCCGAATTCTAAGATTTAAAAATTTTCACTTTTCAAGATTTTCAAAATTATAAAATTGAAAATCCTGAAAACAATTTAATGTGAAATGCAAATATTAAATCTCCGTTTGGGGATCAATCAAGAGTGCGTCATTCTTCGGCACTCAAGCGTCTACTATAAATGTGGGCCTTATTGTCCACGAACTATTCTACTTTTTTTAAAAACATTTCAGGTATGCTGACATCGATAATAGACAATGTAGAAAGCAGTAGAAGTTCGATACGATCCAAAGGTGGTGCTGCTAAAATCAGGAACAACAAAAGTTCTCAGAAATTGATAGAGGACTCAATGAATGAAGAAGAATTATGGGTATAATGTGTATCCAAAACAAAAATATCTTTTATGCATTCCTACAACTTTTTTGGAAAATATTTTTTCCTAAAATAAGTTCGAACAATTTTTAAAAATCCTCTTCAATCATCAGCGTTCTGACGAGTTATGAAAGAGCGAAAGTTTGTAGAGACAATTTGTATAAAGCTTAAATGGACAATGTGATTCTTATTATTTAACACTCTTGTACATGGATATTTTCTATGTCTACTAACTTAGCTTGGTTCATGTTTTTTCACAAAAATAATACCATAAAGCTTCTTTTTATAAAACCACTATTTTAGTGTAATTGAAATTTTAATTTTTTTATTGCCCTTCTAGTATACGATTAACTGATAATATTAAGTTTTCCTTGCAATATGGAAACACATTTTTAAACGCTCTATTTTTTTAACAAAGTGTATATATGTTGAACCGTCTTCCTATTTGTACTTAAGATCATATTTTTATATTAGAATAATATTTTATACTGACTTACATTTTTTAATCGAAATAAAACAAACACTATAAATAAATATGTTTTATTTTTCTTGTATGCTTACATATTGTAACTATTATATATAAAGCAGCTTGGAGCCATATATTAAAGGAAAACAGTGATAACAACAGTACAAAATAGTAACATGTAGAATATATTAAATATGAAAAAAATGCGTTTTTCATTTAACGTTTTATTATAAGAATATAAAACTGGTTATTGCACAAAACCTAGATCAGTAGTAGTAGCACGAGTCGGCAAGTATTAAATTTCAAACTTTTTATGGTTTTATAACCCTTTCTACCTGAAGATAGCACACAAAGGGATCTGAAATATACAAGCGCCATCCATGATATAGTAGCAGAAAGCAAAAATGCATTCAGAAATCACTTGATTTTGGGTGTCACTTGTCAATATGCTATCAGCTATTATTTTATCATCATGGATACTCCTGAAAAAGATCTTTTTTATTTCGATAATGGAAAACGAAAGATTGTGCCCCGCTGCTTCGCAACATCGAAACAACAAAAGCACTAAAAACTGGCTAATCGATGCGTGAAGATACCCACTTAAAATAGGCGCCAAAAAGATTGAAGTTTCGAGCGTCATCTATGAGGCAACAGCAGAACCAAGCACTCTAACTTTTAACAAAGTAGATTTCTATATTCGTTTTTGTGTTCGGCGACTGTCTCGTAGATGGCGCGAATGTCTTTCAGATCCGTTTTTGAACGCGGATTTCCTCAGGTAGAATCAGTGGTTTGAGTCAAGAGTCAAGTATTCTCTAAGAAGTTATTATATATATATATACATATATATATATATATAACTTGAGACGTGGTCATTATCGTCTAGACCAGTTAGGTGAAAAATTAAAGCTTCCGCCTTTTGTTGGGTACTTCGACAAAATTTAAGCAAAGAGGACTCTTTATACTTTTTTTAATTCTCTCTAGCGTTCAATGGACTTTGCCATCATCATCAGGAGCTGCAATTACAATGATAACAGTAGCAACAAAAGTGTCAAATGAATTTAAATTTAATCAACTTACAGTAGTATGTGAGGATGTTGCTAATTGTTGTTTTCGTATAGGATGAGGGAAACGTCTAGTAACATGGTGAGAGCTGGATACATGGTACAATGGTTAAAATTATATAAAATATGACGAGACAAGTTAAAGACAGATTAAAAATTATGTAGAAAACATTAGAGCATTACGTCGTGAGCCACTTGATGATTGCACAAAATGGTGGTCATGGAATAATGAGTGAGATGAACCTTTGACAGAAGGCCGAAGGTTGTCAATGTCTGTGTTGAAAGATGGAACGAATTGTGGGCGTGTGCCAAAACGTTGCCAAATCATCTTTCAACACAGACATTGACAACCTTCGGCCTTCTGTCAAAGGTTCATCTCACTCTATAGACGTATTTTTTAATTCACCGGTTGAGCCACCGGTGCAACCAAAATTTCCGTCTGAGCGACCGGTTGTACACCAAACTTGTCTATAAACTTGTCTATAAACTATATAGACAAGTTTATAGACAAGTTTGGTGTACAACCGGTCGCTCAGACGAAAATTAAAAGAAGAAAAATTGGTTAATTGCTTGCACCGGTGGCTCAACCGGTGAATTAAAGAATACGCCTCTCATTCCATAACCACCATTTTGTGCAATCATCAAGTGACTTCACGACGTAATGCTCAAATGTTTTCTAAATAATTTTTAATCTCTCTTTAACTTGTCTTGTCATATTTTATATAATTTTAACCATTGTACCATGTATCCAGCTCTCACCATGTTACTGGACGTTTCCCTCATCCTATACGAAAACAACAATTAGCAACATCCTCACATACTACTGTAAGTTGATTCAATTTAAATTCATTTTACACTTTTGTTGCTACTGTTATCATTGTAACTGCAGCTCCTGATGATGATGGCAAAGTCCATTGAAAGCTAGAGAGAATTAAAAAAAGTATAAAGAGTCCTCTTTGCTTAAATTTTGTCGAAGTACCCAACAAAAGGCGGAAGCTTTAATTTTTCACCTATATATATATATATATAAAGAGAAAATAATCATGCGGAGAAATGTATATAACAAAAAAATAGGAAAATAATGGGCAAAATTCGCGAAAAGGAGGAAAGTGGATTCGAGCAGAAGTGTGTGATTTTTTCCCATCTATCTTTATTTTCTCAGGTTACACCCGTATCCGGATGTATGAGCATGTGTATCTACTTTTGTAGTTGCATATGTGCATTCATTTCGGGCCTGATGAAGCCAACCAGCAGAAATACGTATCGCTCGGGTTACCTATCCTATTTTCTGCTCGAATCCACTTTCCTCCTTTTCGCCGATTTTGCCCATTATTTTCCTTTTTTTTGTTATATATATATATTAAAGCTGTCTCTCTTACATGAATCTCTTGCTTTATCTTCTGGTTTAATCGTGATTATGGAGTTATTGGTAACTAACATTAGATGCAAAAATAATTTCAATGTAGATTCATGAATGTAGGTTTCAGTAGTATATAAGTATATATTTTTAGATTGACTATTCTACTAGACCATCTAAATCGACACGATGGACAAACTTGGGTGATGGGTGATTCATTTAGAAGTGCTTTTTTCGGAATCATGAAACTACGTCGGCTTATCTTTATTATTAAACAAAAAATGTAGGTTTTTCTGGCCTTGGAACCAGCAGTCATTCACTTCTTGTTCACTTGTTGGTTGCCTAAACCTCATGACACTTGAACTCTGTGCTTTGGCTCTGATGTGATCAACTGCTTTAGAGATTATATTGCCGGTAATTTTCGATGATACGTCCATACATTTTGACCAATAATTTCAGCAAATCCTTATTTCCGATTCCTCAATCATACTCTCTTGAAGGTAGCCCCTAAGGAAAAATCTAGAGATGGGGAATCACACGATCTAGATGGACACCACCTAAATGAGTCACTCGTTTTTACAAATGCAGACATTTTTTGTGGCGAAAAATTACAGTAACAGCCCTTAGCGATTTTAGGATACTATAATCTTGAAACGAACATTTTGTCTAGCGAGTAGGCCTTAAAACGAGACAGTCTGTATTTGTAGCGTTCGACCTTGATACGCGTACAGTTCTTTGATCAACCTCAATCCAGATTCAATTACAATGAATCATTTCTCCTTCCTCGAACGTCTGGAATGCATAGCGTCCTCCTCTATGGGCTTCAAGTCGTTCCTCAATTCTTCTTAGAAGAATTAATGAGGTACTTGCAACAATGCGTCAAAAGATGTTTCTCTCCAGTAGAATCGACTGCCGACACCATTTCTCTCGTATAAATGTCAAGGCCGTATTGGCCTTCTTCTGGAAAGGCTATGCTGAACGTGACCGTGTCGTTCAGGATAGTGTGAGAGACGAATTTCGACAGGCGTTTTTCCTCGACTCCGTTTTTGTGCAGGGTCGCCATGAAATCAGTCAGTTGGCGAGACATACGGAACTGGATTTCTACCTCTCTGCCAGCAAACACTAACGCGTCCTGAAAATAATTTAAAAAACATAAATAAAGGAGTTTTCCCAGCTGTCCAGTGCTGACCTTGAATTTGACCTTGACCGTGACATTCAAGAGTATTTGACGCTCAAGGTCAAAACATTTTTCACGCAAGCTCATATCTTAAGATAAAATTTTCCCCTGAATCCGTATCGCATTGACCTTGATTTGACTTTCAACGTCATTGTCAAGGTCACCTGCAAGATCACCGCTGAATAGCCAGGAGAGAGGTGACAACTTTGGGGCACTGTCCTTTAACACGTAACAAAGCATTACCTGGTACGTAATGGGCACAAGTCCGAACAATCTTGTAGCCTTCGTGGGCCCCCATTCCCCGCTAGCGCAATCTGGCAACGGCACCATGACCGTTTGCAAGTCCTCGCAGCAGATCTTGAACTTGCAGACGCTCTTGAACTTCATCGGTTCCCCAGTAAGGTACTCGCGGGGAGTCACAGCGTTAGCGAAAATATCTAACAAGAAAGCACCGCTGCAGGGGGCGTGGACGCGGAACGCCACTGTGTTGCCTACCACAGACTGGAAGGAAAGCACTTTAATACAAAAATGTAGCAAAACACTAAAAGCGTCAACTGTTCTAGGTGATCTTTCTAAATTGCCTGTGCCTCCCTTTGGATTTCCTCTAGTATATCCCTAAATTTTATTTAGATTCACCGAATTCTCTAAATTCACAAAAGTCTCCGAGTTCAATAACTTCTCTAAATTCTCTAAGTTCCGTACATTCTCAAAATTCTCGAAATTATCTAAAACCTCGAAATTCTCGAACTTGTCTGAATTCTAGAAATTTTCTAAATTCACTGAATTCTCGACGTTTTATAAAATCTCTAAATTCTTTGAACTCTCTAAATGCTCTAAGTTCTGTGCATTCTCCATATTCTCCAAATTCTCTCATTCTCGAAATTCACTAAATTCTCTAAGCTCTCCAAAATCTCTAAATTCTCAAAATTCACTAAATTCTCTAAGCTCTCTAATTTCTCTAAATTCTCTAATTGCTCTAAATTCTCCAATCTCTAAATTGTCTAACTTCCAAGTTCTATAAGTTCTCTGAATTCTCGAAATTATCTAAAACCTCGAAATTCTCGAACTTGTCTGAATTCTAGAAATTTTCTAAATTCTCTGAATTCTCGACGTTTTATAAAATCTCTAAATTCTTTGAACTCTCTAAATGCTCTAAGTTCTGTGCATTCTCCATATTCTCTAAAATCTCTAAATTCTCTAATTCTCGAAATTCACTAAATTCTCTAAGCTCTCTAATTTCTCTAAATTCTCTAATTGCTCTAAATTCTCCAATCTCTAAATTATCTAAATTCCAAGTTCTATAAGTTCTCTGAATTCTCGAAATTATCTAAAACCTCGAACTTGTCTGAATTCTAGAAATTTTCTAAATTCTCTGAATTCTCGACATTTTCAAAAAACTCTAAATTCTTTGAACTCTCTACATGCTCTAAGTTCTGTGCATTCTCCAAATTCTCTAATTCTCGAAATTCACTAAATTCTCTAAGCTCTCTAATTTCTCTAAATTCTCTAATTGCTCTAAATTCTCCAATCTCTAAATTCTCTAAATTCCAAGTTCTATAAGTTCTCTGAATTCTCGAAATTATCTAAAACCCCAAAATTCTCGAACTTGTCTGAATTCTAGAAATTTTATAAATTCACTGAATTCTCGACATTTTCAAAAAACTCTAAATTCTTTGAACTCTCTACATGCTCTAAGTTCTGCGCATTCTCCAAATTCTCTAAAATCTCTAAATTCTCTAATTCTCGAAATTCACTAAATTCTCTAAGCTCTCTAATTTCTCTAAATTCTCTAATTGCTCTAAATTCTCCAATCTCTAAATTCTCTAACTTCCAAGTTCCATAAGTTCTCTGAATTCTCGAAATTATCTAAAACCTCGAAATTCTCGAACTTGTCTGAATTCTAGAAATTTTTTAAATTCACTGAATTCTCGACATTTTAAAAAAACTCTAAATTCTTTGAACTCTCTACATGCTCTAAGTTCTGTGCATTCTCCAAAGTCTCTAAATGCAACAAATTTGTCCAGGTTACCTAACTTTTCTAAAATCTATAAGTTCTCTTAACTCTAAATACTCTAAGTTCTGTAAAGTCTCCAAATTCCCTGATGTTTCTAAAATCTCGAAAGTTCTGTAAGTTCTCTGAATTCTCGAAATTATTTACAATTTCTAAAATCCCGAAATTCTCTAAATTTTCTGATTCTCGAAATTTTCTAAATTATCTAAGTTCACTAAATTCTCTAAATCCTATAAATTCTTTAAACTCTAAATCTATAAGTTCCATAAATTCTCTAAATTCTCTACAATTTCTGAAATCTCCAAACCCTCTAAATTGTCTATATTTTCTAAATTCTTTAAATCCTCGAAATTATCTAAGTTCACAAATTTCTCTAGATTCTCTAAATTCTCTAAATGCTCTAAACTCTAAATTCTCAAGTTCTGTAAATTCTCTAAATTTTAAATTCTCTAAGTTCTCTAAATTCTTCAAAATATCTAAATCCTCTGAATTTTCTAATCTCTCTAAGTTCTCTAATTTCCCTAATTTCTATAAATTCTGTAACTGCTCTAAATTCTCTAAGTTCTCGAAATTCTCCAAACTCTCTAAATTCCCTAAATCCTCTAATTCACTAAATGCTCTAAATTTAAATCCATTTGAGACTAACCTGCATCACAAACCGTTTCAAAGATACTCCCTCGAAGCTGTCACTATCACTATCGTAAAATTTGAGGTTATAGTGAAAAATGAGGCTTTGCTGCATATGAACAGGCATCGCTATTCTCACTGTAGCAGCACCTGAAAATTTAATTTTTGAATAAAATTCTATTATTATTATAATTTTTTGTTACCTGTTGAGTCCGTGTACATAACAGCTTTGGTGTTGAGGTCGGAGAAATATAAACCGTATCTGAAGAAGAGCGACCTCACGAAAGGCAACTCTTCAAATTCTTGCAGGGTAATAGGACTCTTCAACAGTTGCCAGTCTGGCTGTAGAGGGAAAAACTCGTATATGAACTCCTTGGGGTCTGTCAAGAAGTAGTGATCATCATATTCATACCTGAAGATAAAAAGGAGTTCACAATTTATATTAGTTCTTACAGGATGCTTTAGAGAACAACATTTTTGAAGTATGAATAAGCTATAGAGATATATTATAAATAAAAAATAATTCGCGCGATATTTCTCGAACGCTCCTGATGGCAACCGATACCCCTCTCGATCGCTCACGCACGGAAGAACAATCGCTCTCGAAGCTTCGCAAGCTGCGTTACATGATGGTGAAACTCTGGTTGCCTAACGTTGTGAAGGTACGAGGGCCCTACAGTATTATTGTTATGACCAAACTCACCTAAGACTATCTGACTTGGCCTTATTTCCCGCCCTTGGTGCATCCTTAGCATTGACCAAATGCCTTGCGCCCCAGTTGCACTGGACAAATCTCCAAGCACCGGCGACGTAAACTGCATTCCAGGAGTTTCTGAACCTGTTATCTTCGAATCTCACTCCTGGCTGGTAACCGGCAGATTTCGAATAGCCTTTTATCACCACGCAATGCAAACCAGCGTAACTGAAAAAAATTGAATTTGGCTTATAATAGTTACTGAATATATTTTGGTTTTACGTAAAAGTTTGGTGTCCATATGCTAACGGATGCAGACACTAATTTATAACACTTGGTACTAATTTGTGACACATTTATAGCCATGTTGACTACGGCATTGTCTCCACTGTGACTATTTGCTTGACCGTGACTGACTCGTTCCGTCATCTGGTCGGATATTTATTCTCCTGTCGACGAGTCGAGAAACATTCCAGCGTTTTCGGGAACTTCCATGGAAGATATAGATTTAGAATGTTCGCGATGGCGTCCCGAACAGTCCAGAACGCAAGTTCCTCTACTGGCACTTTCTTGTTATTGAAAGTATTATTATTACTTATTATCTCAAATTTTGGTCCAACATACTTCACGATTTTGTAACAATCATATTTGAACTCATCGCCTAAAATTAAATGAGTGTACCGAAAATATTGGAAATATTGAAAATGTGTTGAAAATTTGAAAAATTTGAGAATTTTGAAAATTTGAAAAATTTGAAAATTTTGGAAAATTTGCAAGTTTTGAAAATATTAGAAACTTCGGAATTTTGAAAATATTGCAAAAGAATAAATTTTTAAAATCTTGAAAATTTTGTGAATTTTGGAAATTATGAAAATTTTGAAAATATCAAAAATGATGAACATTTTGGAAATTTTAGAAATGTTGAACATTTTTTAGAGTTTGAATATTTTGAAGATTTTGGAAAGTTTGAGAATGTTGAAAGTTTTAAAAATTTTGAAAGTTTTGAAAATTGCGAAACTTGAAAATTTTGAGTTTTAAAACTGAAAATTTTTAAATACCGAAAATGTTGGAAATATTAAAAATGTGTTGAAATTTTGAAGATTTTGAAAAATTTGAGAATTTTGAAGATTTTGAAAATTTGAAAAATTTTAAAATTTTGGAAAATTTTGAAAATATTAGAAACTTTGGAATTTTTAAAATATTGCAAATGAATACATTTTTAAAATCTTGATAATTTTGTGAATTTTGGAAATTGTGAAAATTTTGTAAACGTCAAAAAACAAAGGCTGAACGATTTTTATTTTTTTTAGTTGTAAGCTTTCTTCCCGCCACGGGATCGATTTTCAAAAACTACAAAGTTTTGTGTACTGGGTAAAAATGGAACAATAATTAAAAAATATTCAACATCTTATACTTTGTACCTTACCTGCATAGTCTTTTGAACAGCACATGATAACTTTCAGTACCATTTTTGATCCCCCTGAGTAATCCCATGGGCGTATCACCTCTAAGATTTTCGTCAAACGACATCGTATTTAAATTTTTTACTGTAATCCAACGAAATATCGTCCTAAAAATAAATAAAAATATTTAGGCATACGTAAAGAATCTTCTAAAATTTGGGAAATATAAACAAATTTTTTTTCCCAAGCTCAACAAATTTTGAATGGTCTCGAATGCTTGAAATGATTGAATCAGGAAATTACCTGGCTTTTTCTATATCTGATCCACATCGTCCAACTAACTGCCTAACTAAGTCCGTGAAGGATTTTTGGTCTTCTTGAGCAACTGAAATCGCGATTTGGTCTATATGTGCAAACTCTGATGGATCACTATATACCTGTAAAAAACATTAATAATTTTATAATACGTAATATCTCTTATTTGTAATAAATAACAGTTTTTCTAGTATCTACGTAGAGTGTCCCATTTTCATCTCCCAATTAAATATCTCGAAAACAACGCTAACTAAAAACAGTTTCAAATAAAATTTGTAGGTAGGTCATTTCAAGGTGAACCAAATATTTTAATCAAAATTCTACGTCCGAATATGCCCATAATCATAACCGTCAAGGTCATTTCAAGCTCAAGTAAAGACATTTACCACAGCAAAAATGATTGACAGCACACAAGGGCGACCTTGGCCATAGCCCTCAAAGTCAAGTTCTTCTTTTCATCCTGGAATGTTACGTCCAAATGTGACTTTGACCTCAAAGCCAAGGTTATGTCCTTGAAAGTTATTTGTAAGAGAATCCCTTCATTTTTCTGGCAAAATTGCAGACATTGCACATCAAATTCTGACATGACCTTGAAAATGGTCATTGACTGTCGGATATTTTTGCTCGCGTAAATTGTTTTCAATGCCTTGATTTGACCTTGAAATGACCTTGATGGTCATAGTCAAGATCATATTCTCGAACGTGAATTTTCCTCCTCTTTCCAGCCTCATTTGAAAATATATACTTCACCTTGAAACGACCTTGAAGATCGCAGTCAAGGTCATTGTCAGGGACACTATCATTTTGCCCTCTCCAAATCCTATAACTTTTGTTTGAGACTTTTTTTACCTGAAAAGCGTAATTTTCGAAATACTCTAGAAATTTTGAAGATCACCATTTGGTGTCGGTTTCTTTTGCTAGAGTAAATTGTTCATTGGCTCGACTTGACCTTGAAATGTCATTGAAGAGTCATCGCTATAGTTACAGTCAAGGTCATATTCAAACGTAAAATGTCCATTTCCATTTGAAAATATATAATTCACCTTGAAACGACCTTGAAGATCGCAGTCAAGGTCATTGTCAGCGACACTATCATTTTGCCCTCTCCAAATCCTATAACTTTTGTTTGAGACTTTTTTTACCTGAGATGCGTAATTTTCGAAATACTCTGGAAATTTTGAAGATCACCATTTGGTGTCGGATATTTTTGCTATAGTAAATTGTTCATTGCCTCGACTTGACCTTGAAACGTCATTGAAGAGTCATCGCTATAATTACAGTCAAGGTCATATTCAAACGTAAAATGTCCATTTCCATTTGAAAATATATAATTCACCTTGAAATGACCTTGAAGATCGGAGTCAAGGTCATTGTCAGCGACACTATCATTTTGCCCTCTCCAAATCCTATAACTTTTGTTTGAGACTTTTTTTACCTGATATGCGTAATTTTCGAAATACTCTGGAAATTTTGAAGATCACCATTGGGTGTCGGATATTTTTGCTAGAGTAAATTGTTCATTGGCTCGACTTGACCTTGAAATGTCATTGTAGAGTCATCGCTCTAGTTACAGTCAAGGTCACATTCAAACGTAAAATGTCCTTTTCCATTTGAAAATATATAATTCACCTGGAAATGACCTTGAAGATCGGAGTCAAGGTCATTTTCAGTGACACTATCAAATCCTATAACTCTTGTTTTGTTTTTTTTACCGCGGATGCGTAATTTTCGAAATATTCAGGTTGGGAGACTAAAATGGAACATCCTGTGTAAGAAACACAAGAAACTTATTATGAAATACTACAGATTCAAGCAAAAAATTTCATTACCAGCGAAGTAAATTGGATTATTGCAATCCAATGTGCACACATGGTCATAAAATATAATCAACTTACACATACCTACTATAATTATTTTTATTATTATTTGTAAATAGTTTACGCTTCAATAGTACATAATTAAAAACAAATTAAATGGAAAAGAGGATGTATCGTGATTGCATAAGTCAAGGGTACCAAACCTTAAGAACGTTACGAAAGAACATAACACTCTGTATGATGTCATATCCGGATATTAGGAAATTATAACCTGTAAAATCTAATCTAGAAACTGTATACAGAAACTCTTTCGATATATCATAAACTAGTCGCAAAGAGAATGATTATTGAAATAGTAAACTTTTGGAATTAATGTACTTTGATTTTCCCTCTAAATGTACCTAAGTTTTCAAAATATTAAGCGCGGGAAAATTTCAAACGTGATTAGTGATGAGAAATATATGAATACCTGGTTTCAAATTCTGTCTTTTCAAATTCTCACACTACAATTTATTTTAACTTTACTTGCCACAAAGCACAAAAACCTTGATAATTGGAGATATGGATTTAAAAAAAATGTATATTCTATCAAAATATTTTTTTGAGGTCCACTGCAAGCCAAAAAAAAAAAATTTTCCTACACCTTAGAACTTTTTGGTTACGAGATTGACTGGATTCTACAAAAGACATATTTTCCTTTGCGAAATAGAAATTTTTTATACTGATGCAGAATCCCAAATACCGGGGCACTTTTTTATACACACTAACTAAACTATTACATGTTCGCTTAAAGCTGATTACTAACACATCTTGATAATTAAATCTGCCTGGTGGCAGCACAAGTACCAAATGGACCGGAACAGCGGTCTGATGTCATTTTTTGGCGGTCTTATCAAGATTTTTGTGCTCATTATTGAAAATATGGATGTGTTCTTTTGCAATATGAAAGGATGCCCAAATGCCCATAATTACGGGTTTTGACGTGGTCAGTTGCAGCACAGCCGACGTCAACTACGAGCCGTGAACAAAGAAATCTGACAACGTAGGTGGTAGTGTTCTCCCGCCGCTGCTTGCTGCATCGACGCAACTCGTGCTCAAAACGCTGAGAAAACATAACCTTTTCAATTTGTGATTTGGGAATTGCAGAGGCTGTAATTAAGAGATAAGCTTGTTTTCTAAGCTTCAAAGTGTGTGTATGTGTTCAAAGTGATCGGTGACTATAATATATGAGAAATAGACTCCAGTTGTAGTGCTTCTGTGCTTTAAAAATAAACCAAGAAGTGTGACTGTGGCTGTTCGCGCCTCAGGACGCTAAGGATTTCAACTATTGAAAACGTGCAAATTCAGGTTGTATTTTTCTTTTTTCATTTATCAAGTATTTGACGCAGACAATATGCCTCGTTGTTGCTGTGTTCCTTTATGCAATGCAAACTATAATTCTGCTTTGAAAACAGAAAGCTATGTTTCAACTTTTCGCTTCCCAAGTACCGAAAGTCTGAAAAACAAATGGCTTATGGCAATTCCCAGAAAAAATTGGACACCTTCAAAATATTCAGTTGTGTGCAGTCGTCATTTCAGAGAATCGGATATCATCAGGACAGAAAATATAGTTGACGTCGGCTGTGGTTCAGTGTTCTTGTTGGGGTTGGTGGTGGGGGAGCCGACAAACACGACGCTGTTGCCAGATTTCGCCTAGCATCACAGCATTGGAAAACTTATTTTTCTAACAACTCTCCAATTATAGAACTTACTTGAAATTTACTCAAAGCCGGCGGGGCAGGCGGTGGTGCGTGACTGGGATAAGGCTGGACCTCCTCCGGGATGTACCCGCCTTCTATTTGATCGTCTAAGTACAACGATTCGGCCTGCATGTATTCACTCCTTTTTTCGTTGATCAGCTCCAACATTTCGTGGCTTTGCTTTTCTACCAAGGCTGCCGTCGCTGCCCTATGGAAAAAAATGACGTCAAGTAGATCGACTCGGTTTCAAAGAAAAAAGATGAGTCAAATTTTTTGACATTTTACCAACAAATACCAAGAAATAGAATAATTGGATCAATTTTCGAAATCATAGAGGTTTTTGCGCTTGGCGTGGTAGTGACCGTAATAAAAAAAATTTCAAGCCCTCCAAAAAAGTTTTTCATTACGCCCCAAAGTAGCCAGATGGTTGAAAAATAACGAAAATATAAATTTTTGAACATCCCCTCCCTCAAAAGAAGTATTAGGAACTGTGAGCTCAAAAAATACCGAGAAATACGAAAGCGGTCCGATGATTGGATTAATTTTCGAACACAAACAGCTTTTTTGCCCTTGGCGTGAAAGTGACCCGAAAAAATTTTGATTACGCCCCAAAGTAGCCAGAAGGTTGAAAAACATCGACATTAGAGGTTTTTGAATCCCTCTCCAAAAAGGAGCAAGGGGAACTCTAAGCTCAAAAAATATCGAGAATACGAGGGCGGTAGCATAAGTACTTAGCCTACAAAAGAAACGTAAACGATAGACCAAGCGTAACCCAATCTTATTTATAACTATACTAAGTGACATATAAATCCGAACATCCAGTTTAAATGGTTTTATTTTAATAAAAGTTGGTGAATGTATTTATCTTACTGTAAATAATAAGTGAAAAAATTTTCAGCCTTAGATGGACATTCCGGTTTTTATACTGCTTTTTTTTTAATTCACTAACGCTCTAAAAATGAATATTTCAGCCGCAGTAAAGTATCAACGTTGGCGGATTTTGGTTCTTGACATACTTTACGATCGGTTACGATGCCTAGAGTACGGAGACCTGTACGATTTTGTCAACTTAGTGAGTTTGATAGGGGCCGTATAGTGGGACTTCGGGAAGCTGGACTTTCTTTTCGGGCAATAGCAGTTAGAGTGCAAAGAAGTGTAGACACTGTGGTTAGGTGTTGTCAGGCATGGCTTCGAGAAGGCCGTACGCAAAGAGCAAGGGGCACTGGACGCCGCCGTAGAACAACAGACCGTGAAGATCGCCGCCTAAGATTATTGGCCTTAAGGGACCGTTTCTCCACTACCAGGTCCATTGCAAATGAATGGTTTGCAGAACACGGAAGACATATTCGCATGCGAAATGTTTACCGACGAATGAGAAGTTTTGGCTTGTTTTCATACCGGCCACACTGGGTCCTCCCTTTAACTCGAGAACACCGACGTAATCGCCTTGAGTGGTGCAGACAACGGTCACTCTGGGATGAGGAATGGAACAGTATTGTCTTTAGTGACGAGTCTCGATTTTGTTTAGACATGCACGATGGTCGTGCCAGGGTTAGAAGGCGACGTGGTGAAAGGAGGAATCCACAGTTTTTTGTTGAAAGACATGTTCATCACACTGTTGGAGTTATGGTTTGGGGTGCTATAGCTTATGGTTCCAGGTCACCTTTAATCTTCATCAGAGGTAACATGAACGCGCAGCGTTATATCCACGAAGTTCTAGAACCCCATCTTTTACCCTATCTTGACACCCTGGCAGATCCAACTTTCCAACAAGATAATGCCCGACCACATGTTGCAAGAGTCACAATAGACTTCTTTCAACATAATGATGTCACATTGTTACCATGCCCACCAAGATCTCCCGACTTATCCCCAATTGAGCACGTGTGGGATATGATGGGTAGGAGATTGCTCAATTTGCAACGTCCTCCTCAGACTCTAGAAGCACTTCGAGAGGAGTTGGTGGTTGCCTGGAATGAGATACCACAGGAGAACATTGACCACCTGATCAGAAGCATGCCTAGGCGCGTTGGAGAATGCGTAGCACATCAGGGTGCATCCACACATTATTAAAGGTCAAAGGGCTTTAAAGCAGTGCAATCATTTTGAAATTTTGATCATTTACTCATTATGCTTCATTAAGTACTTATACAAAATTTTATTAAAATAAAACCATTTAAACTGGGTGTTCGGATTTATATGTCACTTATATTTCACTGTTTTTGTTAGATATAGATTTTCTGGATTTCAAAATGCATGACAAATCCTATTGCAATGTTTTTTGTTTAGAGGAAATAAATAAATAAATTGAATAAATGAAATGAATTAAATAAATTAAATAAATTAAATAAATTAGATAAATTAGATAAATTAAATAAATTAAATTAATTAAATTAATTAAATAAATTGAATAAATTAAATAAATTAAATAAATTAAATGAATTAAATAAATTAAATAAATGAAATAAATTAGATAAATTCGATAAATAAGATAAATTAAATAAATCAAATAAAGTAAATAAAGTAAATAAATTAAATGAATTAAATGAATTAAATAAATTAAATAAATTAAATAAATTAAATAAATTAGATAAATTAAATAAATTAAATAAATTGAATAAATTAAATAAATTAAATAAATTAAATAAATTAAATAAATGAAATAAATGAAATAAATGAAATAAATGAAATAAATGAAATAAATGAAATAAATTAAATAAATGGCCGACTCATGACTTCAACGACTCATGACTTCAACGGTAGATCCAGAGTGTAATATGTTTACCTTTCGTGTTCAAGCATTTTTCTCGTCAACGACTCTTTCTTCTTATCCCTTCTCAGCGTCATATTTTTTTCTAAGGTCTCCTTGTCCTGTTGGTGCCTTAGAGTCAATATGTTCTGGTCATCTCTTTTCTTTTTCATCATCATTTCTCTTTGGAATCTGTCGGTTAGGATTTCTAATTCTTTCTCCCACTCATCCTGAAACAAATCGAACGGTTTATTGATTCGGAAACAAATTATTAAATAAAAGACTATAAAAACGATAAACGTGGGACAAAATGATAAAAGACTTTGTGTAGGTTTTCTCAATGGCAATGGCTAGAAAACCATTTTTGGGAATACCTAATCAATTTTCTAAGTCTAAAACTCAGTTCCTGAATAAAATAAGAGAATCTTAACTACTGGTTCGGTTTTAGCACATATTTTTTCAATGTGTTAGAGAGAGAACAAACTAATGCATATTTTCAGTATGCATCAGATGTTACATTGCACAGTAAATGCTATACGTTTTTTAGCACATAACAAAATAGAAGTCCGCAATTTGTTACTTTTCTGCATCTGGAATCTAATCAGTTTCGCATTTTCAGTTCCGTTTCAGCACCACCTGACAAATTATGTAAATTTCAATAACATTCCGCTATCTGTTATGAAATTCAATAAGAACTAATATTAGATATTAGCTAGCGGCCAGATGGCTTTTTTTTATTACGATCGACACTATAAAAATAAATGAAATGAAAGTTACGGCTCGAAGCTAATGCTTGTTCGCTGAACATTTTTGTTTTCGGACGCTGAAAAGGAAAGGATATATACTTTCTTCCAGGCATTAAAGGCATACATCCTGCGTCGATCAAAAAGAATTCTCGGCGTTCTGTGAGAGAAAGTGTCATACATAGGCGTGAGCTTAATGTGGACAGTGGGGTTTCGAAAAAATATAGATACACAGAATCATAGATGTTGACCGAATGTTATATGTTTGCTTCCCTTGTATCGCATTTTTTGGCGGCATATTTGATAAAAGAAAATGACAAAATAACAAATCAAACCTAATTTCCTGACTCCTGCTTATTTTCAGAAAAAGTGTTCGTGGGGGTTCAGGATTGTAGGGGGTGAGGGTTATAATTTATTGCATTTACTGTATCAGACGAATTAAAACATCGTCAGTTCAAATCACGCCAATTAAATATACTAAGTGACATATAAATCCGAACACCCAGTTTAAATGGTTTTATTTTAATAAAACTTTGTATAAGTACTTAATGAAGCATAATAAGTAAATGATAAAAATTTCAAAATGATTGCACTGCTTTAAAGCCCTTTGACCTTTAATAATGTGTGGATGCACCCTGATGTGCTACGCATTCTCCAACGCGCCTAGGCATGTCCTCTGTGGTATCTCATTCCAGGCAACCACCAACTCCTCTCGAAGTGCTTCTAGAGTCTGAGGAGGACGTTGCAAATTGATCAATCTCCTACCCATCATATCCCACACGTGCTCAATTGGGGATAAGTCGGGAGATCTTGGTGGCCATGGTAACAATGTGACATCAAAGAAGTCTATTGTGACTCTTGCAACATGTGGTCGGGCATTATCTTGTTGGAAAGTTGGATCTGCCAGGGTGTCAAGATAGGGTTAAAGATGGGGTTCTAGAACTTCGTGGATATAACGCTGCGCGTTCATGCTACCTCTGATGAAGATTAAAGATGACCTGGAACCATAACTCCAACAGTGTGATGAACATGTCTTTCAACAAAAAACTGTGGATTCCTCCTTTCACCACGTCGCCTTCTAACCCTGGCACGACCATCGTGCATGCCTAAACAAAATCGAGACTCGTCACTAAAGACAATACTGTTCCATTCCTGATCCCAGAGTGACCGTTGTCTACACCACTCAAGGCGATTACGTCGGTGTTCTCGAGTTAAAGGGAGGACCCAGTGTGGCCGGTATGAAAACAAGCCAAAACTTCTCATTCGTCGGTAAACACTTCGCATGCCAATAGGTCTTCCGTGTTCTGCAAACCATTCATTTGCAATGGACCTGGTAGCGGAGAAACGGTCCCTTAAGGCCAATAATCTTAGGCGGCGATCTTCACGGTCTGTTGTTCTACGGCGGCGTCCAGTGCCCCTTGCTCTTTGCGTACGGCCTTCTCGAAGCCATGTCTGACAACACCTAACCCCAGTGTCTACACTTCTTTGCACTCTAACTGCAATTGCCCGAAAAAAAAGTCCAGCTTCCCGAAGTCCCACTCTGCGGTCCCTATCAAACTCACTAAGTTGACGAAATCGTACAGGTCTCCGTACTCTAGGCATCGTAACCGATGTCAAGAACTAAAATCCCCAACGTTGATTCTTTACTGCGACTGAAATATTCATTTTTAGAGCGTTAGTGAATTAAAAAAAGCAGTATAAAAACCGGAATGTCGAACTGATAAGGCTGAAAATTTTTTCACTTGTTATTTACAGTAAGATAAATACATTCACCAACTTTTATTAAAATTTAAACTGGGTGTTCGGATTTATATGTCACTTAGTATACTATGTTACACGTCTCGAGTTCCGATCTTTGCGCAACTGCCCTACGACACAGTAAATTTCGCAAAGCTACAGGCATAAGACCGCGCAGGCCATAGGTGCGGCTTTTACTTCCCAGGCTATTGAAGTCACTGGAGAGGTTGAATTGTAATCGCTAAAAATGTTTAGCCGGAGATCAGTTTGGTACCGCGTGCGCCCGCAGGAATTGTTCTCAAGGGGACCGATCATCAGCAACAGAACTTTTTGTGAAAGTGTAGCGGCTGGCCCTTAAGTTCTGCAGAGCTGCAAAAACTTTTGTCTTAACAGAAAAAAGCAGTAGTAATTTGATCATTATTTATTTTCCACGTTATCACACAAATAGAAACAATACCGGCAACGCTGTCCCTGCAAGACACAACGTCGAGTCTGTTTTGTATTGAGAAAGCATTATAATCGACCAATTGTGTACTTGTCATTTTCGTCGCGACCGCAGCGTATCATTATTCATGGGCCACTTGAAAAGGGTCTGTGCACTACTTCGACACACGCCGCACGCGCTTGCTTTTGTCTCTCTCTGCAAAATCAAATGCGCCATTTAAGCATCAGCATGTGATTGGACGGTCGGTGCTCGGTATAAAATTTGGCGGAGCATTTGAATTGGCGACGAAACCGAGAGCTCCCAAATCCCGGAAATATTTCGTGGACTGATTAATTTTTCTGCTGAGCTTGATACAACCTCAAGCGAACACATAAAAAATGCTTCAATATTTAAAGGCACTTCGAAAGAAATACAAAACGATCTACTGGATTGTATTCTTGAAGTTTGTCATGAAGAAATAATAAAACCGATTGACAGAGCCTCATATTTGGCGATAACAGCAGATGAAAGAACGGATATTTCGGGGAAAACCCAACTGGTAACAATTTTCAGATACGTATTTAACGGCGAACCAGTAGAACGTTTTTGAAATTATATCGTCGGTCTACGGCGTAACTGACATTTTAAAAATTTTACAGGAGAGCTAGAAAACGAAAATCAGCAATAAAAGAGATTGAAAGTGACATACTGATTTTTCAGTCTGAACGTTGCTGTTTCTTTTTGTTAGACTAAAGTGATGTAGAACCAGTTTTAACGCAGAGGCGTAAATCTATTTAAGCCGGTACGTGGAAATTCTTTTCGGAATTTTATAACTTAGGCAATTTTCTGAAACTCGATGGAATTTTAATATTCGAACAATAAATGTAGTGTTTGAGAACAGATAATCACTCATTGATTGCATGGAAGAAATAGAAGAAAATTTCACTAATGAAACGGTTTGCAAGGCAGCGTGCGGTATTCGCCGTATGTTAAACGATTCTGTTTTCGTGTTTTGGTTGACACTTTTTCACATCATGTCATGCCTCACGTCGACATCTTGTTCAACCAGTTGCAGAAGAGAAAAACCGAGCCAGCGCAAGTTAAAACGGCTATCGATAAATTTGAAAAATGTATTGTCGATGTGAGGAACAAAATTGATGACATAATACATGAAGCCAAAAGTATTTGCACTGAACCCCAAGGCAACAAAAGGAGACGACGTAATAATAGCAGTAACGATCACCGAGTTGCCGCATTAGAAGTATGCGGCAATACGTAATAGTGAATTCTGCAAATGACAGTTTTTAATTCAAAGATCATTTGGTAGCTGCATCCCTTTTTTTCCCCGAACACTTTGGAGCGTACTGTGGTAAGTTTCCTGATGACAAGTTGGAAACTACCTGCTTGGCTTATCCCGAATTAGAAAAAAGTCGTTTAAAGACAGAGTTGTCCGTTATTTATGCACGGAATGATTGCCGAGATTTACATGGAACTCTGTCTCTTTTGAAATTTTCGATACAAAATACTCTGGAGGAAACACTGAAAGAAACAAAAAAGCTATTAGAAATTATTGTTACAACTCCTATGTCAACATCAGAGGCTGAGCGAAATTTCTCAACATTGAAAAAATCAAAACTTTTCCTCGTAATACTATGACCCAGGATCGCCAGGAGCGCAGGATCGAACTGACATATAAAAAATAGGTAAGTTCGGATTTGCAGAACACCTGTTTTATTTTGCCACGAGCCGCCACTGGTAGCGGGGGGTATCAAACTTATCCCCCGGGTTCAAATCCTAAAAATCGTCAAACTTATACGCATACTCATACTGAAAATTTTAAGATCCTATCAGGTTCCCAGGGGGGGAAGACGGTCCCCCCTGGCCTCCCACAGCGGGCGCCATTGTTTGGTAGTCTGCCTACAGTATATTCAGATAAGAGATAGACCGGATGTAAACAAAAGGTTCGGGTGATTTTCACGCTAACGCCGCCGTCTCGACGTAAAACAGGAGCCCTCATTGGTCAATTCGCAATTAAATGCCTATGCCGAGCGGCAGAGCAGTCGTATCAAGGCAGAGTCACATTCAGGTTCAGACGTGTTACGTATGTCGTGTGCATCATTGCAATTTGATATTTCTTTGGACGTTTTCGTTTGTTATCTTATTAAGTTGTTGAGTTTGTCGTTGTTATTGTTATACCTTGTTATTGATTGTTATTGTTATCAACTGCTTGCGCAAAATGCCCAGTAGTACAGATACTGCCGATGAAGTTGGAAACTCCTGTAGTCCACCTAGGAAACGCTCTAAAAAAAGACACCTGAGTGCAGAA